AGCGTCTAAGACTTTAAGACCTGCCCCCTGTGACACACTCCCTCCAACAAAGCCACAACGTTCTAATAGTGCCAATCCCTTTGAGTCTATGGGCCCATTCTCTTTCAACCTACTACAATAAAGACTATGTAACTTGACCAGTATTCTAGGAAGTGACAGATTTAAGCTTGATCTGATGTAGCTTGTACATACATATGTTTAGTAATTATGTAAATATGTAGTAAGTACTTTTTTGCAGATTACAATGTCAGTCACAGATATTTTTATATCTGCTTTCATAATGTAAATGCAGCTATAGGCAATATTTCAACAAATAAACTTGGTTATATTAGAGTAAAACTTGATTCATAAAATAAGTAGTGGGCTGATCTTGGCCCAAAATACAAGTTTTCTAACCCATGCTCTTTCTTTTTTAAATAATAAAAAAGGAGGTGTCTTAGTCAGAGTTTCTATTGCTACACAAAACATCATGACCAAGAAGCAAGTTAGTGAGGAAATGGTTGCTGTTCATCACCAAAGGAAGCCAGGACTGGAACTCACACAAGGCAGAAGCCTGGAGGCAAGAGCTGATGCAGAGGCCACAGAAGGATGCTGCTTACGAGTTGTTTCCCCTGGCTTGTTCCGCTCACCTTCTTATAGAACCAATGGACCACTAGCCCATGGATGGCACTACTCACAATGGTCCCTCCCCCCTTGATCAGCAATTGAAAAATGCCTTATAGTTGGATCTCATAGAGACATTTTCTCAACAGAGGCTCCTTTCTCTGTGGTAACTCCACCTTATGTCACCTTGACATACAAAATCAGCCAGTACAGTGGTGCAAGCCTTCAATCCTAGAACTTGGAAGGCAAAGGTAGGCAGATATAGTTTGGATCAGCCTAGTCTACAAGTAAACTTCAGGAAAGCCAGGGCTGTACAGCAAAATTCTGTCTCAAACAAACAAAAAGGATTTGTGTGTGTGTGTTCCTGAATGTATATATGTGAATCATGTAAGTACAGTGCCCATGGATTTTAGAACTCAGTATTAGATTCCACAGAACTGGAATTAGAGATCATTATAAGCTGCCTGATACAGGTGCTAGAAACTGAACCCTGGTCCTCTGCAAGAGGAGCAAATGCTCTTAAGTACCAAGACATCTCTCCAGTTCCCCAACCCATGTTCTTAACTACCATACCAAAAAAACATATCTATAAGCATCAAATCTCTCTGGGAAATGAAATAATAATGATAAAGTGTTAGACAGCTTCTTAGTGTTTGTAATGTGAGAAAGAATACAAATCATTCTGGTTCAGTATCTGTATATAGAAATATTCTATACTAAGATGATCCAAAGGCCTGGGTTTCATTCATCCACAGAATTGACAGAGGAAATCTTCCCTAATGTGAGGCTTACTAGATACAGCTGAACAAGGAGTCAGATTTATGGTACACAGCTATAAGAGGAGAGACAGTCTGCTAATCTCAGCAGGAGCCACTCTAGGGAAGCAGTCCCAGGCTGCAGTCATCTGAGATGAGGAAGCTGTGATTGATACTGAACATACTGGTTTTAGCTAAAGGTCAACTGTCCATCAATATCCTTATCAGGCCAAGGGTAGGCCTTGTCATTCCCATGTGTCTGACATTTTTGATCTGTGACATGGCTGTGCTTATGTCAACAAAACACATTCACCTGGGACATCATCTCTCCACAGTATGGGCCTCTCTGTGGGGTCACTTGGGTGTCTTTGTCATATGGCAGCTGACTTCCACCAGGTGAATAATCTAAGACTAAGCAAGGAAAGCTGCAGTCTCCTTTATGCCCTCGCTGCAGAACTGACACAGTGTTTCCCACCACAGAACCTGTTTACTGGAAACAAGGCACCAAGGCCAGCCTCCTCTCAAGGGAAAACAAATGAAATATCATCTCTTGTAGGATTATATGACAATTTTTTGTTAATTTTAGTTAGTGTATAAAATAATAGGTTTCTATATGACATCTTCATGTATGTCTATTGCTATATTGGCTCATGCTTACTTTCTTATATTATCCCCCGCACCATGACAAGCCCCTCTGAAGCAGTCAAGAAACTGTGAACATGTTTTAAGTCTACCCAATCCACTTTTTTGTCACATTGATTTGTAAGAAAATTTTATTTCACTCAATTCCAAAGCCTGGAAAGTCAAGCGTGTCACTTGCATCTGATGTAGACCCCTTTGCTGGTGAATATTCTTCAGAAACCAAAGAAGGCAGGTTAGGGCACTGCCCACTGAAAGAAGCATATGCAGGAGATAGAGCTAAACTGGCTTTATAATCGATCCACAACCCAGATAATCCATCAACTCATGAACTTGATAATCCTAACTAGATTAATTCATTCCTCTGCCCTCGGGAAATAATAACTTAAATGTCCCAACTATCCCTACTTCTTAATATTCACAATGCAGATTAAATTTCACCATGAGTTTTCTCTTTGTATATGTTTGTTAAGTATGTAAAGTAATGGGTTCCATCATGGCATTTCCATACATGCATATAATAAGCTTTAATCACAAGAATTCTATGACTCCTTATGATCTCTTCTCCCTCTTTCCTACTTCCATATCCTTAACAATTATTCTCTTAATGATTCTTGTCTTTTCTTCTAGCTAGATTTCACAAGTCAGAGAAATTATGCATTACTTGTCTTTATAAGATTAGCTTATTATATTTAACATGAAGACCCCCAGTTCCATTTTTCCTAAAGTAACACAATTTTATTATTGTTTATGGCAGAATAAGACTCCATGGGATGTGTATGCCACATTTTCCTCATCCACTCACTCACTGATGAGTATCTAGATTGATTCTATAGCTTGGATATTATGAATAGGATAGAGATGAACACCAGCATGAGTTTCAGTGGAGAAACTGAACCATAGGCATATATTGGGATCTAATGCATATTAATCAGCCACTCAAACCAAGGGATATTTCTGGAGCTATCTAATTGTTAGTGAAGTCATTGTACCTGAAGAGATCCAAACCTCATACTGACATCACTTTCATTTTATGTGTGGAGACTTTGTTAATAAAGGTTGTGTACATCCTTCCACTCATTCTGGCTTGTATGGGCCTTTACATTTCACATCTCAGTTCACAGTAGCAATGCTGGAAGAGACATCTCTGCTTGCACATCCCAGCAAGTTTGCTACATCCTTGCAGGCCAGTCACACACACAGACATCATTCTGTCTCAAGAAGAAGGTAGAGATAGCTGCATTAGGGCCTCATGGCACTTGTTCACTAGACCTTTGGGCACAATTCACACGATGCAAGAAGTCAGGGAAGGTGGCCTGGGCAGATGATATCTTGCCCAGTTAAAAAAAAATGTTTAACTTTATAATTTTGAGAATTTCATACATGAGTACTGTATTTACATCATGTCTAGCCTTGCTCCTCCTATAACTACTCCTATATACCTTCTGTTCTATTTCAAAATCATGACCATTTCTTCTATAACTATTATTGTTATACACGTGTGAGTGCATGCACTAGCATGTGCACACACACACACATACACACACACAATTCTTAGTCTGTTTAGTGTTGTTTGTTTGTACATGTATTCAGAGCTGACCTTTTGGAACTGAATAACTTACTAGGGAACCCATCCCTAGAGAAAATTACTTCTCCATTTCTCAGCATCCTTGACTGTCTATAGCTCTTCATCTAGTAGTGGGTCCTTGTGAAGTTCCTCATCCACAGTGGCATGTCAATGGTGTAGTTACTATGTATGTCTTGCTAGGGCAACCACATCACTTGAGGGTCTTTTTAGTACAGTATTCCTGTCATGTCTAGAAGATACTAGCTCACAGCAGGTATCCTGATGGTCTGGCTTTTTTAATGAAAAAATATCTTACATTTAATTCTGTTACATTATGATGCTTACATTTAATTCTGTTAGTTTGTAGAGGTTAAAACATATTAATTATTTTATATGATTACATATTGTTTTACTAACCAAGTATTTAAGACAGGCAAAGTATAGAATTGTAGCAGTTTGTCACACATAATGTTCTATAGCAATAGCAAGCAAACAAACAAGCCCAGCTACAAGAAGGACCAATACAATGAGAAGCAGATGAGTGAACATGAATGATGCTAGGGTTATACTCTACAGAAGACTATAGAGCTATGCAGACTTGTAATGTCATTATCATGGCTGGTATAGGAAGAGATTCTGCTAAGTTGCTACATAAAGATTGGGGGCGAAAATGTATAGTTTCTGTGGTGTTGTTGTGTGGAAAGCTGCCTGTGGTTAAATATATTCAAATGAAAAGGTGTTGACACTGTTTTTTTTTTTTAATGCATCTAAAGGCAGGTAAGCATGCATATTTTCCTTTATTGCTTGTCTGGATTTTCTGGTTTTTCTACAACTGTTGCCTAAACATTCCTAAGCAGATCTCTGCCTCCAATAGCTCCATAGGTCTGGCAAAGGCAGGAAGAAGGGACTGAAGGAGGGGAAGGAGAAAGTGAGAGAAGAAAGAAGGTTGCTCTGGCTTTCTGGATCTACTTCCTGAAGCAGCTGAGTGTGCCTGGAGAGCTGTGAAGTTCCTCCCAATCCTTGGAAGGCTGACTGCTGAAGCTTCCTTCGTTGAGAGATAAGGTGAGAGCAACAGCAGGTGCCTTTGGAAGTTTGGGATGGTGTGAAACCATTCTGGGAAAACCTGCTCCTCCCTAGTGAGTTTCAGGCTCCTCCCTGGATCATTAGTGTATTTCATGTACTTAAAGGACCATGGCATCTTGGAGAAGCAAGCAGACAACCACAGGCTCCTACCTGAAGAAAGGAGAGATCTGATGGATGCTTTGTGTGGCCTTTCCTGACGTCCAGATCCAGATTCTCCTGCTTCGCACAGGCTGTTCACATACTGACAGGCTCTGGAGCCTACTTTCTACTCAGGCCTCAGATTTTCCAGCCTTGTCTTTGCCTAAAATTTCCTGCTGTTTATTTCAAACTAGGGTCTACATACTGTGGAGCTCATGATGGTCCTGAGTGGGGCACTGTGCTTCCGGTGAGTAATTGGTCATCTGATTTGGTGTTGTCCTCAGAAAAGTGAGTTTAAGGTAGACAAGAGGGGCTGTTCTCTCATCTGGGCTATCACAGGTAGCTGGGAAGATGGGACCAATACTGCCCTTGGAGTACTTCTGACCTTCTTCAGACTGGGGAAGAACCGAGCAGGATCCTGGCAGATTCTAAATGTGTGGGATGGGGGATGGGACAAGTAACTAGACAGTTTAGACCTGCAGACTGTCGTCTTCTGTGAGGCAAGTCGGTGTCCCTTAAAGAGCTCCACTATTGCCTCCCGTGATGATGAACTGACCTCAGCCCAGCCACTGTACTAATTCCTCCATGATCCTTGCTAGGGATAGGAATAACAGTCCCTCCCTGGCATGTACTGAGCTCAGCATCTTACTACAGATTTTACAGCAGCAGATAACAATGCTCTTTACTCTCACTGGACTCAGTGTATAGCTTGTCAGCCCTCTGTGTCTGTGGTTTCTATAATCACAGATTCAACATACTGAATTGAAAATATTAGAAAAAACTTGCATATGTGATGAGCATATACAGACTCCTAGTTACTATTCCTTTAAATAACAACATGACTATTTATATAGTATTTGAATGGTGTTAGATATTACAGTAATATAGAACTGGTTAAAGTATTCAGGAGAATAGACATCAGTTAGAGGCAAATACTACAGCCATTTTATCTAATAGCTTTAGCACCTGTGGGTTTTGGTATCTGCAGGGATCCCAAAACAAATTCTTATGCTACCAAAGTCTTGGAGAATTTCCTGAAGTGTGTTCCCTGAGGCTCAGCCCCATGAGATGGTTTGTGCAATAGTGCAAGAGTGAGTGAGGGTGTGGAATGATACCTCTTCACCATGTTTGCTTGGGAAGACGGCTCGATGGAAAATGAAAGAGGTTCATGTTGGAAAAAATGTGACTTCCAGAATTCGTATCCTCAGCATCCACATAAAAGACTAGTGGGTGTCTGAGGGCAGCTCTAATCTCAGCACCTGGATGAAGAGACAGGAGATCCCTGGGGCAAACTGACTAGACTAGTCAAATTGGCAAGCTCCAGGTTCAACAAGAGTTCCTGTCTCAGTAAATAAAGTGGTGCAGGGTTAAGAAAGACACTCAAGGCAGAGTTGTCACCTTCACATACATGCTCAAACTTGTGGTCAGGCGTACACATACACCAACACATATGTGAACATGAAGACACATATTCACACATACAGATGCAAAAAATGTTTGGTTAGACATCAAGACAATGCAATTTTACACTGCAGAGGTCTATTTTAGAATGAAATTTTCATCTTACAGAATCTCAAAAAAATCAGTTAAGAAGTAACTTTTAAAAATAAAACTTTAAAGAAAGACTACACAATGAGATCCTGTCTCAAAAATGAAACAAAACAAAAAGCTAAGCATCAGATTTTAATTAGGAAGAGGCCTGGGTGTTATTTAACACATTGCCATGGTTTAGCAATGAAGAGAATCACACTCAGAACAAGCAAGAATTTTGTTTTTTTCCAGCTCATCCCCAAATATTCCTGGTCAGGTTTAACACAGATAAGACCTTCTTCTGCTCACAGAGATCCCACAGGGGTTAAACATGTCCAAACAACTTTCAGGTCATCAAGACAGGTTTAAGATAAGAAGCCTGTGAATGAAGGGAATCAATGAAGGTTGGTGTCCTGGCTTTGAAGAGCCCAAGGCTCCAACTCGTAGAGTCCCAACAGAACAGAGAGGGGATTGTCTGGGATGTAAAAGATTTAATATGGGGAAAGAAAAGACCTCGGACACAGGAGAGGAAGAGGGGAGGCTCAGTCATCTTGCAGAGCTCAGACCAAAAGTTGCATGACTGTGTCTGTAACAGTGGAAATAGAGGGAGACAAATACCTGAGTTTGGGGATCCTTCTAGAGCCAAGGCAAGGTAGGATGCCCATCCCTATCCTTTAGAGTCTTGTCTCTTCCTGATGTTTCAGAATGAAGGATTCGGCCTTGAAGGTACTGTATCTGCACAATAATCAGCTGCTGGCTGGAGGACTGCATTCGGGGAAGGTCATTAAAGGTTGGTATCTATGAGTTCTGGGTCTCTGTACTTTCTAGGGGTATTTTCTTAGAAGCCCTTAAATGGCTCTGTAAACCAGTGGCAGGCCTGCAGGCCACAGAACCACCAAGTAAGAAAGGGAGTCATAAAACAGGCTTTAAACAAAGCAGAAACCCTGGTGAAGCCTTGTGTAGAGATGGAATATTTTCCAAGACAAATGACCTATGGTTCTATTATAGGCATTTGAATATTCTGCCTTCATAGGAGCCAATACTGGGCAGAAGACTAAAGTAGATCTTCATTCCTAAGTAGGTTGGCTCTACTCTTCCATCCTGCTCTCTAAAGATCCCACAGTGGTGAGATCTGGACAGTAGGTGCCACCCTCTGGCCTCCAGATTACCTATGGTGCCCTCAGACTTTGGCAGGTCTTTCTACAACAGTGCATACATATTTACTTGGGCATCCTTATGAGGTATGAAAACTATACATACCCCTTTGTTGCATTGTGTGTACATATTTGCATATGAGAATACTACATGAGGGTTTATCTGTATGTGAATGCATGCATAAGCTCACGTATATAAATATGTGTGTAAGTATTGTATGCATAAATATGCACGTAAGCATTGTATTATGTGTGTCTATGAATGTGTTCATATTTTGATTATGTATAATATGTATGGGGGTACATACATATGTGTGATTGTATCTATGTACATATGTGTATATTAATGTAATGTGTGTGTGTGTGTGTGTGTGTGTGTGTGTGTGTGTGTGGTGTGATGGGTGATATACAGTGAAGAGTGAAATTTTTTTCTGTTCACAGAAATCCCACAGGGGCAAGACAAAGTACAGAAAAGAGGCCTGGGAGCCAAGAGAGTGGTGGGAGGGGTGGAATTCAGAGAATTTCTCAAAGTTTGGCTTTAGAAAAGAGAAGTTGAGTGAGAGATTGTACCTGTGTTCCTGGGCTTTGGTTTCTTGTCTGGGCCAGGTGGCAGGAGATTAGCCTTATCCATGTGTTGGAAAGCAAGATGCCTACTCAGAGAGAGTGGGCAGAAGGAGACCCACGCTTCTGCATCTTGCCTTTTTCCTCTAGGTGAGGAGATCAATGTTGTCCCAAATCGGGCACTGGATGCCAGTCTGTCTCCTGTCATCCTGGGTATTCAAGGAGGAAGCCAGTGCCTGTCCTGTGGGACAGAGAAGGAGCCGATTCTGAAACTTGAGGTGACTATCACTGCAGCATCTTTGTATTCTTGGTCTGAGCTAGGAGAAGCAGAGAACACCGGGGCTGCCACGCAGTCTACGTACCTTTGGATGCTGATGAAGGCACTGCTGATCCAGCACTGCCTCCTCTCTAAGCATCTTTCCCTTGCCCAGCTCAGCCCTCCTGTTTGCCCACTCCTGTGTCTCATCCTTCACGTCTCTTTTCTACAGCCAGTGAACATTATGGAGCTCTACCTTGGGACCAAGGAATCAAAGAGCTTCACCTTCTACCGGCGGGATATGGGTCTTACCTCCAGCTTTGAGTCAGCGGCCTACCCAGGCTGGTTCCTCTGCACCTCACCTGAAGCTGACCAGCCTGTCAGGCTCACTCAGATCCCTGAAGATCCCGCCTGGGACGCTCCCATCACAGACTTCTACTTTCAGCAGTGTGACTAGGGCTGTGCGGTCCCCCAATTCCCTAAGCAGAGGCAGAGTAGGCAACGGTGGCGATAGAGGAGCTCCATAGTGGGTGACTTACTCCTCTCCTTCCCTACAGGACTCCCGCTTCCGACTTTTTTTTTTTAACTTGACTTGGACTCTTTATTATAAAGAGGACAGATCATAAGATCCAATTTGATGTGGCTGGTCATATCTCTTTTTTATTGGATATTTTATTTACATTTCAGATCTTATCCCCTTACCCCATTTCTTTCCCCCACCCCCTCCCAGGAACCCCCATCCCATCCCTCTCCTCCCGCTTCTATGAGGATATGCCCCCACCTACCCCCCACTCTCACCTCCCCACCCTCGAATTCCCCCACACTTGGTGTCCAGCCTTCATGGGACCAAGGATCTCCTCTCTCACCTATGCCCAACAAGGCCATCCTCCCCTACATATCCAGCTGGACGAGTACGGCACATAGGCACTCTCTTCTCCTGCGTCCCAGTGCTGATAAATCTTCTGGTATTTGGAGCTCAATGTGTAGATCCTTTCCAATTGTATTATACTACCTCTAGTGTGAAATCTAATAGAAACCACATAGGACCAACAAAAAGCAATATAAAAAGATTCTTGGGTGAGGGAGAGGTGGGAATTGTTCATACATGGTAAGATCTGACACAGTACTTCAGAAGTCCTGCCATTCCCTGCTGTTCAGGAGAAGGAAGGGTCACCAAGACTTTCTCCAGCAGGCTAGGCCCTTTCCCCCAATCTTGCTGCTGACATCTGCTGCCTTTCTCATCCTTGCCTTCATTCTCTGGCCCTAGTCTGAGAGGGTGATGTCAGGATAGAAGACAGAAGATGGCCAGGCACACTGTCCTGGTTTGAAACCAGAGGTACAATAAAAATCTCTGATTCTGGTCCCTACTCACATAAAAAGAAGCTTTTGAACCTTAAGTAGAAAGAGATTGATACTAAATAATGTATCTTGTAATTTCATCTTAATTAAAATATACTTATCTATATTATATATTTTAAAGGGGGTCATGGAGTGTTTACATCAATTGTAGCCATGTTCAGGTAGGGGCAAGAAGGTGACTTTTCTTTTTATGTGTGTCTATTATCTTTTGTATTATGGAGGTGGGTTATTTGCATAATAATAAAAAGGAATCAATATGGAGGGAAATGAAGCAGACATAGTTTCTGGTCATTCTCACCATCTGCTGGGGTGAAATCCAAACTGAGCTCATCTGCTCTAAGTGGCAGGAGCAACAGGCAGATCTCAGGAAAGCTAGGAAGAATGTGAAGGATTTGTGCTAGAATCTCCTGGGTAAGGGATTTACAGAAGAAATAAAGGAAAGAAGAAAGGACTGGAGAGAGGGAAGGGGGAAGGGAAGAAGAGGGAGAACGGAAGGGGAGGGAAGGAAGGAGAAATGGAGGGATGGAGGGAGGAAGAAAGAAGGGAAGGAAAGGAAAGGGGAAAGGCTATCCTTGCTTTAACCTGGGATAGTGACAACTCCTGGGGTTCCAAGGAGTCACAGCCAACTTCTGAGGGTACTACTGTGCTGTTTTGAAAGTTTCCTCCTCAAGTTCACATCCCTCCCAAATCTACTGTGATCTTACCTAGGCAGAGTCCTTACAGGTAAAGTGCTGGACTAAATCTCACTTGACCGATGTCCTTTAAAAATGAGGATGTAGACACAGAAGAGGCACAGGAGACAGATCCACGTGAGACTGAGACAAAGGTTGAAGTGACTCTGCTGCCACCAGCCACAGAGGGCCACGGACTGTGTGGATCACCAGAAGCAAGAAAGAGTGGAAGAAGTGTTCCTTCCTAGGGCATCTAAGGGAGTTCCACCTTGCTGACACCTTGGCCTCAACCTTCTGAGCCCCTGCACTGTCACAGAATACATTTCCACTGTTGTAAGTTATTAAGTGTGCAGTAATTGGTGCTAGCAGATGGTGGGACTGAATGGAGCTGCTAATGGTCTCTACTTCCTCATGTCCACTCCCTCTGATGCTCTACCAGATTTATCTCTGGGCTAGTGAAATATAGCAGAGGTGATAGCAGGTGATAGAGAGTGGATTATAAAAGACGCTTTAGTGGCTTTAAGGGGCCTGGTCTTTCTCTTTACACTGGGGCAAGCCAGTTTCTATTCTGTGTGTAGCCCCTTAGAAAGATCATATGAGGGAAGTTGGTCTCCCATGGACAACAGCTGAATGTATGAACTCAGAAGCATGGCCTGCCCTGGAGCCATTGCAAGCCAAACACTGTCTTGATTGCAGTCTCATAAGAAACTAAAGCAGAACTGCCCAACCAAGCTGCTCTGAGGCACAGGTTGCTCCACAGAAACCCTGTGAACTAACCATGTTGCTTTTAGATTCTGCAGTAAGTTGGTAAGCTGCAGTAAATAATATTCAATGAAAGATAAACATGTGCAGTTACTTTATTATGATCAAAACTTTATTTCTTCACTCTTTCCATTTTCCTTCTCAGAATCGACACCAGCCTTTCACTAACCCTAATCATGCTTCCTTCACTCGTTAACTATTACCTGTTCCCATAAGGTCTGATTCCTCTTCGACCGTCACTGAATCTCTCACCTGCACACCAGGATGGTTCTCATATTCCTATCTAAAATGCTGGAGGACTAAGAGTGAAAGCAAAAGGGGGTTCATATCAGAACCCCAAGTATTTAGCTGTAAAACTCACTTGTCAGACGAGCTTGACAGGTTTACAGTTTGTAGAAGGACCAGCAAGGAGGTGGCCACTACAGAAAAGGCAACCTCCACTTGTCCTAGAACCTTCAATCCAGATACATCTAAGCTCCCTCAGCAACAGGCAGCACCATTTCTACCACAGGCCTCTCAGGAATACTGAGGATGCAGACCCCAGGACATGGACCTCAGTAACCAGGCTGTGTTTCTGCACACCCCATTCACACTGCCTGTCTGTGAGTTAGTCTCACAGTGCATTCCTATTTTGGGACACTGTACCCGTCCCTTCCACCTACAGAAATCATTCACTTTTCAATGTCACCTCCTGTAGGAAGTATTTGAAAAGATGAGAGTGTGATAATTTGCTATAATATTCTGTGCTTATCTCCCTGTAAAAAGTTGGCTTAGGGTTTCTGGTATGCATCTGACCTTAAGGCTGGATCTGCACCAATATGTTTTTAAGCACCTAGCATAATACTTCTCAGATTTTTGCAACATGGTTTGTACAGAATGTGGAAACTCACAATTCTGGAGCATCCTTTCCCTTTCCTCTACACACATACACCTTCGTAAAAGAGTAGTTTGAAACCCACCTCATTCTTGAAGGTCATTCTTTGTGGGGTGACAGAATTTAAAAATACTTTAGCCTAAATAAGCTCACACTTCCAAATCAAAAGTGAAAGAAGAAACACATTTATTTTGTTGTTGTTGTTGTTGTTGTAATGGTCACTGTACAGGGATGCAGTATGGCCTAAGAAAGTTGAACATCATGGCTGTTCAAGTGAAAACTTGCTGTTTTAGATTTCTGAAACTTTACCAGCCACCACCCTGGGCCTATATTTTCAGAAAGGAAATGCCCACAGCAGGTAGGATCTTGTCAATTGCAGACACTGAAGATCAGAAACGTTTCAAGATCAGGTCATGAAGGAAGAGGTAAAGGAGTGGATGGCCTTTGTCCTGAAAAAGCAAAACACAGCCAACCTCATACTTAAAGCATCAAAAGGTCTGTAGGCATTTGCTTTTTTATAATTAGATGCCAACTGGGTATAAATTATCTCCCAAATCTTAACTATAAAAATAATGAACTCCATTTGTACTTTTCTCAGGGGCTATAAAACCCCTGATCTTGAAGTTGTTGGGGGAAAACCTGACCTTTGAAGATGCCATACCATACATTTGGCCACTTGGAAAGAGAGTGTGATGTCATGTCTAAAGGAGTACTCTGATGCTGTTGTATCTCACATGCCCTTGGCTTACAGCTAAGTATGACCCCAGCTAAACTATAAAGTTCCTTGGCAACATAGATGGTATTCTATTTGTCTTTGATGCAGCAGTACACATTACTGACTGCCTGACAGGACATCTCACACTTTGGTACTTTTGCAAATTTGTGAAGAACAATGAAGAATGAATATTTGCAATAAAAGCAAAAATTGGTTAACCCAAATCTAGCTCTGAAATCGTTTTCAGGGAGTGGAGAGTCTTTATGTTTTGTTTATTCCTTTACATCCCAATCACTGTTCTCCCCCCCCCCCAGTTCCTCCATTGCCACAGTCCTCCCTCCCTCCCCTTCTCCTCTGAGAGAATGAAGAACCCATGATAGGTGGTATTCACCTATCATGACACATCAAGTCTCTGCAGGGCTAGATGTTTCACCCAGAGGCCAGTCAAGGCAGCCCAGTTAGAAAAAACATATTTCACAGACAGGCAACAGCTTTCAGGACAGCCCCACTCCAGTTGTTCAGGATCCACATGAAGACCAAGCTGCACATCTGCTACATATGAGCGGGGAGGCCTAGGTCTATCTGTGTATGTTCTTGGGTTGGTGGTTCACACTCTGAGAGCCCCAAGGGTCCAGATTAGTTGACTCTGGTCTTCCTGTGGAGTCTCTGTCCCCTTCCGGCCCACAATCCTTCCCTCAGCTCTTCCATAAGAGTGTGAGAAGTCTTTAAAAACATGAGGCATTTTATCTCCCTAGGGCAACACATGGAAATTAAAGATTGTGAAATGTAATTCAAGGAAAAAGAAAAAATTAACAAGGAATAAGGGTTTTAATTCTCTGAAAATGATTAAGAGTGTGGAAAACATAAACTGTATTCTAATAGAATGTAATTAGATTGTAATGAAAACCTATCAAAGTTCTGAAATAACTTTCATTACCTTGTACAAAATAAATATTTCTTAGCATATGTGTTGTTGGCAAATTTTGTTGTTAGTTTAAAACCATGACAATAACAACAAAATGGCAAACAAAGGGTTTCAGCCCCGTCTGTCTTTTCTCATTTCTTATTCTGTGGTC